GACCTTAACCGTGTAGGTATATGGCCACGAAAAGTAACAGTTGCATTAGCAGTCAGGTTACATTATTTTGACAAGCAGCCGAAGAAGTGAATCTTCCACAAAGCGGCCTGTAGAGGGATGTGTGCGTGTTTTGTTGCTGCAAAGATCAGGACACCCCCACTCCCCGCAAAAGTACTTGGTATTAGGCGCATTTTCATCGGGCTTTTCCTTGCAATGCACAACAAGAGGAGTGATGTAAAAGCGGGTCGGGGCCCGTGTCGGACTCGGGTTCACACATTAAGTGTTGGCCACCCTGCCAGCACTTTGGATCGGCAAAAAATAACACGGGTTTAATTATTATTATTATTGCGCCTGCATTGACGTCAGCTCATGTCTGGGCGCTGGTGCGCGCAGGGCCGCGCTATCGACTGACCGCCGCGGAGCTGATAAGGGCGGGTTTTGTTGTAATTCCTCGGGTAGAGGAGGAGGAGGCCGGTCGGTGAGACGGCGAGCTCGGCACGTCGGGGAGCTCCGTAACTTGAGCCGAGCAGTCCAGCCGCAGCCAGAACTCACACGGCGAGCTCGGCTGGGTCCTAGCGCCTCCCGGGTTCCCAGCCGTGTAAATTGCTGCGGGAATTGCATCACGAGCGAGGGGGGAGGGAGGGGAGAGGAAGCACCCGGAGCTGCTGCAAAAAAGCATATCGTTTCATCAGAAAGAAGGAAACTCCATATAATAAACTGCAGGAGGGCTTAAGGCCGGACTGACTCACCCGAGGCGCTCGCCGCCGCCGCCCCGCCTCTCGCCGCCCGACTCGCCCGCCTCCCTCCCACGGAGGTAGGCTGGTGTGCCGTGGGAGGGAGGCGGGCGAGTCGGGCGGCGAGCACACGCGGGGCGGCGAGCGAGCTCCCTCCCGCATCCCATCGCCGCTCGCTTCGGCCGGCCTACTGGGCTGTCGCAGGCGGAAGGCCTGCGCATGCGCGAGGTTTTCGCACCTGCCTCCAGTAGGCCGGCCGAAGCGAGCGGCGATGGGATGTGGGAGCTCGCTCGCTCGCCGCCCCGCGTGTGCTCGCCGCCGCCGCCCCACCTCTCGCCGCCCGACTCGCCCGCCTCCCTCCCACGGAACACAAGGCAACGTTCGGCGGCACACTAGTGTGCCGCGGAACACCGGTTGGGAAACACTGGCCTAGGGGATAATTTTGAGTTGAAGAAACGTCTAGAAGGGAGAGTAAGATAGGGAATATTTCCATTTTTTATAAAAGAATAAGACAGAGAAAATGTACCCATTTGTGTATGTTATACACAGTTTGGACCGGGGGGGGGAGAGGAATGACTAATTCATACATCCTATATCCCTTGTTTTGTTTAATTGCAATGCAATATGCAGGCACTAACTTCAGCATATTATTATTATTAATTGAATTTGTATACCGCCCTATACCCACAGGTCTCAGTAGAGATGTGCAGAATCTATCTTTTTGAGTAGGTCCTGTCATCCTAAAGGTGGTGCTCCTGCAATCCAGTTAGAAGTCTTTTGGGTGGGTGTTGGAAAGCAATTGTGGGTGGGGTAGAGTTTCCAATGGCAGGTTAAGGGACCCAGTGAGTGCCAGTGTGGTGTAGTGGTTAAGAGTGGTAGTCTCGTAATCTGGGGAACCGGGTTTGCGTCTCCGCTCCTCCACATGCAGCTGCTGGGTGACCCTGGGCTAGTCACACTTCTCTGAAGTCTCTCAGCCCCACTCACCTCACAGAGTGTTTGTTGTGGGGGAGAAAGGGAAAACAGAAAGTTAGCCGCTTTGAGACTCCTTTGGGTAGTGATAAAGCAGGATATCAAATCCAAACTCCTCCTCCTCCTCCTCCTCCTCCTCCTCCTCCTCCTCCTCCTCCTCCTCCTCCTCTTCTTCTTCTTCTTCTTCTTCTTCTTCTTCTTCTTCTTCTTCTTCTTCTTCTTCTTTGTCCTAGCCTAAAACTGCACTGCTTGCTTAGCAGGCACCATTCCACAGGACCTCCTGTGGTACCCAAAAGCACCATCTACAGTTCATGGCTTTTCTTATTTTTCATGAAGTGCAAGTTGAATAGATTTCTCTTACAGTCATTTCAACTACGTTAACTGGCTTCCTTATTATAGGGCAAACAAAATAATTTCTGTTCCATGGTGCTAGTATTTCTTACTGTACCATCTCACGGCTTAATCTGGGGTTAGGAGTTTGAGGACTGCAGCCTTTGTCTTGTATTGGGGATGGGGGGGGCAGGGAAACCCAGCTGCAGTGCATCCACCAGCACCTCGTATTTTTGTGGTCTCTGTATCTGCTTCCCAGCAAGTGTCCAAATCGTTTGACAAAAACAGTCTTCTCTTTCGGCCGAGAAATATTTGAGCCGTATTTGAAAGGATCCAGGTTTGTTGATGTTTTTCAGACTTATTATCTTTCGGTGTCCTGAACGATACTTGGACAATAACCAGACGTGAATAGATTGATTTCTCTGAAGCTGGAGTTTTAGCAGCTTCAGCACCTTTCATGGGCTTTGCTAGGGAGGCGGGGAGAGGTGCTGCTTTCTAAACTAAGGCTAGATTAGGGGTAACTTCTGCATAGACATGGTGCAGCATGAAACCTGTAACTTAGGTTGCTGGTCAGTAGTAGTAGTAGTTATTATCATTATTAGGTGGCCTGCTGTTTTTGAATTGAGCATGAACTGAACAGCCAGCAACATTGACTTCAGCAACATTCTCGTTGGGGTCTTGGTCTCTCTGTTACACACACACACACACACACACACACACACCAAGACACAATGGGACATTTAACCCCTTCCTTTCCCTTGAGCAGCAAACAGAGGCTCTGAGAGTTCTCTGCCTGTGCACTTTAGCTGCTACTGTAACATAGCCTGTTGCTGTCTACACTCCAGTGAGAGAGTTGGAGATAAATGGGAGGATTCCACCCAAAGCAGCTGGTGCAGATCATGTTAGCGGAAAGTGTGCTTAAAAGCCTTTGGTCTGGCTTAAGTGGGAGAAAGCAGCAGAGGGGCATAATAAGTTGGTCCTTGGGGGCTATGCTTGAGCCCTTTTGCTACTAATTGCCAATACCTAATCTATGTAATTATTTCTGACATTTAAAAAACAAAAACTGTTGTACTTTGTCAAATCTGCAACAGTTTTTTAATGTCCAGGCATGGTCGGTCTCTCTCTCTCTCCGCGCCCCCATCCCCGGTCTCTTTAGGTTCCTATTATTGCTAGAATTAAACAGAAACTAAATCCGGGCATGAGAACATTAGGTGCCCTTGTCACACTATATTGTCCGCAGCACCCATTTTGAGATAAAAGGAATCCTTTCCTATGTGAGTGGGCAAGGAATTAGCAAGGCCTTTATTCTGCCCTCCCCTCTCTAAAGTGCCAGCCAGCACAGCTAAAAGTGAAATAGAGGGGTAGAATATCTCATGCCAAGTAAATCCTGGTACAGATTATTCTCCCATGCTCTCTTATCCTTTAAGAACAAAGGAAGGCAACAGGAGCTAAACGTACTCTCCATACTGCTATTCAGTTTGTGAGGTTCCACAAATCCCTTGTTGCTGGGATCATGAAAAATTCAGTCTTCCCAACAGACACTCCTTCGTCATTTCCCAATTAACAGCATTTGTTTTGATATTGTAGATCATAGCTGAAGAGGTCAGTCTCCTCCCTACCCACCCACCCACCCCTGCATGACAACTTTTGTTCTGGCACTGCTGCTATTTGTTCCAGGCCTGTAGCTCCACATTTTCAAATGAATCCCACTGAAGCAGAAGGCTGCAGCGGCAGCAGCAAATCTAACAGATCTGCTGTCATGTATAGCTCTGCCCGCCGTACATCACATTCTAAGTTTCGTTAGTTGAAGTACTTTCTATTCACTGTAAGTTTAATAAATAACAGGTTTTGCACCCGTTTCATTCCAAGTCATATTTTCCCTCTTCTTACGTCAGAGGCATGTGTCCTGAAGAAAAGAGGGTTTGCTGTGCAGCTTGCAGCCTTCTCTCACGCTGCAGCAAAGAGCACGTCTGATTCTGAAATGGTGTGGGGTAGAGGGTTGTAACTTGGACGTCAACCTTCCCACAGACTGTTGCCTGCATGCGCATTAGAAGAGTGCTCAGGTTGTTTGTTTATCAGGGCAATCTGGCACTGCAAACTTTTCAGTGGTGCTTTATTTCTTTGGAAGACACACACACACACAATGAGCTTTGTCTGAATGCCTAGGCAGCCACATCTGTGTAGTGTGGTGTTCATATGATGTGTCCCACAGCACTGCCAAAACAGTCAATGGGATTACATAAACAAGCGGCTTTTGTTTGCTACTCCTCAGTTTTGAAACTCCGTTTCTGTTGGGAGTTTCCCCAAAGACCAACTATGAGCGTTTTTCGAGAAGTGACAAACACATGCTAATTCAGATAGGACTTTGATACTGAATTCTAAGCAGGGGTGTATTTTAGCAGATGGTTATATTAATATTTTTTGCATATATGTAAGTCTTATGAGGGATGCGGGTGGCGCTGTGGGTAAATCCTCAGCGCCTAGGACTTGCCGATCGCATGGTCAGCGGTTTGAATCCCCGCAGTGGGGTGCGCTCCCGTCGTTCGGTCCCAGCGCCTGCCAACCTAGCAGTTCGAAAGCACCCCCGGGTGCAAGTAGATAAATAGGGACCGCTTACCAGCGGGAAGGTAAACAGCGTTTCCGTGTGCGGCTCTGGCTTGCCAGATGCAGCTTGTCACGCTGGCCACGTGACCTGGAAGTGTCTGCGGACAGCGCTGGCTCCCGGCCTATAGAGTGAGATGAGCGCACAACCCTAGAGTCTGGCAAGACTGGCCCGTACGGGCAGGGGTACCTTTACCTTTACCTTAAGTCTTATGAGGGTGGCCAGTCTTTCTACCCAGAAGACCAAAAAAGTCTCAACTCAGCCGTGACATACATTTGAGCATTTCTGATTTTTAAATCTCTGTCTTGAATCACAGCTTTTTTCACTCTCAGATTCTGAGTGGGTGTTTTGTTTGTCTTTTGTAGGTAGTTCAAATGGATCAGAAGCTGAACCTCATCACAGACCTGCTGCAGCACCTGGTTTCCATCCAGCAAGGAACCCAGGGCAGCAACAAATCATCTCACAGGCATGATGTTAACGCCGAGCTCTTCCTCTCCAGCAACACCCTACCTACCTATGAACAACTGACAGTTCCAAGGAGAATCCAAGATGACATCTCCTGATGTAACAAACAGCCCTTTTAATTGACACTGAATGTTGTGAATCTTGATGGGGGTTGGGGGGAAATTAAAGCTCGTATAATCAGCCATACAAGAATTAAACAGGCCTATTGAACTAACATTACTAACCTCAGATGCATTCTTCCAAAGGCAATTATACGGACAACCACAAAACCTTAAGACTCCACCCTGTGTTGATTATCAATGTGGTACTTTCATAAGTCCTGTTTTTATTCCCTGTGTGAATAAACTTTCCTACTGTAATTTGTCGCTACACTGAAAGACCAAAAAAAGCTAACACAGGCAAAATGTCAATCGCTTTATGTGCTTTCTTTATTAAGCACTGTTGCTGCTGTAAGCAAGTTTCTGAAGTCCTGCACAAACACCCTTGAAATAGTTTGAAAACTCCACAGCAGCTATGTTTGGTGGATGGCACCCTATGACTCTTCAATAATGATACTTGAACATAGATGGTCATCTGTGTATTCTGTTTATGACTCTGCTGATAGCAATATCATTTTACTAGTTAGATTTTAAAGGAAAATAAAGTATGTGGGTTGTATGATATAAACATACTACTGTTGTTCTAAATAATGGCAAAAGCATGCATTGAGTGATTTCCTGCCCATTTTCATTTTTAGCCTGTTACATAAGATAATGACTATAATTTTTTTAACCAAAAAACCCCCACCTTTTTCTTCAGGGATGAACTAGTGCTTTAAGCCTAGTACAGTAATGTATGTAAAGAAAAGCAATGTCTATTTTATTAAGATACAGTGATTTCATGGGGATGCAGAAATATTGCATAGGAAAAATTGTTGTTGTTGAATCATACTTTGCTGCCAAAGAATTTATATGTAGTATTTATCATAACCATCTGAGTGTGTTTGTCCTCAATGAGCTTTTGGAATTTATTGCTTTTTATATTGATGTGGGTCTAGTCTGTTTCTCAATGTACTGTAACTAAGCACAGGTCTAGAGTAACTGGATCTTGTCGATAAAGGGCTTGAAATGGCAAGTTGGGGAAAATACTTAAAGCAGCTTTGGACATTATGGAAATGCTCTACCAGCCAAGTTTGCAATCACTTCTATGTTAGCTGGTATGCTCCTCCATAATGCCCGAAAGGAAGGAGTGTGCATGCCCCACTAATGCTAAGATGCACATACTCTTCAGCCTCTTTGGCTGTAACAAAGAGGCACTGCTAGCTAGATATTGAAGTGCCTGGCAGTGCACCTCTATAATGCCTGAAACTTCTGTATGCACCAGAGAACTGGGAGGAGCAGGAGACACTCATCCTTCTGCAAGCCCTTCTTATTCAAGAAAAGAATATATGATCTGCATATGCAATAGATCAGTATCAGTATCACAGATACAATGTCTGTGCTGTCTTGCTTCATTGCAGACATAGCGCTTTTCAGTGGAGTTGGTTCACATGTGTGGTGAGTCATCAGGTGCTGAGCAATCAAAAAATGTTTATGCAGAACTCAACCAGCCCCCCAAGGGAACTAGAGAAAGAAAGTGGGTTTGATTCAATTTGAAGACCGCCCCCCAAGTATGTGAATTGACAGTGAATTCTTCAAATTCGCTGTAGAAAATTTCTACAGCTACTTCTGCTTTAATGAGCACAGTTGTAGGTTTGTACATTCTGCAGCAAGGAATGAAAAATTTCCCTGGCATAGAATTTCAATTCTATTTCTGTGGCCCTGAGTAAGGTACTTAAATATATAGTACAATATCAGGGTGATCAAGCCAAGCAAGCTGCAGCTGAAACCACAGGGATTCTGGGATATTCCTGATAATCTAGATAGAAAATGGAAGGCAAGCCCTGCTACTCATCCCACATAGTTGTGGTATTTTTTTAGGGGAAGGACTGAGTATGAAAGAGCTCTCCTCCAACCTTGGCTATGATTCTGCTATGCTTTTGTGAGCGTAGCATGCATGCCCAGATCTCAAGAAAAAGATTGTGTACCATCAGCCAAAAAATCATGCAAGGGAAAGTTACTTGTCCTGGTCCATTGACAGTTTCTTAGTCTTCTGTTGATGACCTCCTGGGCCACTATCAGATTAAGTGAATGACCAACACTTAGCACCCTCAGGTCTCCATACAAAAGAGGTCCTCTAAGTTTCTGGCTTTGGCACCCAAAGGTGACAGACATATCAACTAAAGTGAGGGACAGACTGCACACATGCCAGTGGTCTCAAAACCAGGCAGCGCAAAGGCTGTGGCATAACACCTGTCCTCACCAAACAGCATTCTTTCCATGGGTGCGGTAATGAAATGAATGAACATTTTGTTCTCTGAGAGCTGCCCTGCACATCATATTTTAGCAGATACACATTGGAGCTGGAGTTTGTGTCCACCAAAAACAGTGCTTGAATGACTCCAGTATCTGTAGGGCAACCTGTGGCCCTCCAGATGTTGCTTGATTAAAACGGCTACCGCAGGGGTCGGCAACCTAAGGCCCATGGGCCAGAAGCGGCCCATGGAGGCCATTTAAGTGGCCCACAAGCCACCCCCGAACCGAGCCACCCGCTTGGCGAGTCCCTGTGCGCTGCACTGAACCAGCACAGTGCGGCGCAGGAACTCTTCTGCGGCTCCAGAAATCATTTCTGCGTGTGCCCAGACACCGGAAATCACATCTGCACATGTCCGCGGCACCAGAAATCACTTCTGCGCATGCCCAGACACTGGAATTCGCACTTTTCAGCGTCTGTGCATGCACAGAAGTGATTTCCGGTACCGCAGACATGCCAGATGTGATTTCCGGCATCATGCTGCGCCGGCCCGGCCCATGGAGGATCTCCGCGGGAGTGATCCAGCCCATGCCCGGTAAGCCTTGCCAACCCCTGGGCTACCATCTCTGACCGTTGGCATGCTGGCTGGCATGGATAAGTCCAGCAACATCTGGAAGACCACAGGTAGACTACCTCTTTATGCTAAGAGTTGCTGCTGCTTCAAATGTCACAGGTTTTCTTATATATGCAACAGCACTGTAGTCTATCAAGGAAATTCTATACCCAGCTATCCTACACAGCATCTAAGTGAATCCCTTGCACATGTTGAAGCAGCAAAACTCCAGTATAACATACTGATACCTTCTGAGTCCTGAGAATGCTGCACTCCTAACAGAAATTATATATCATAAAAATCTGAACTGAATCCCATTGCCCACTTTCGATTAATTTTAACGGGTGTTAGCTTAGACTTGAAAAACTAGCACTTTCTGTGAATTCACTTTGATGCTTCTGAAGTGACATTCTCCCTCTTTCTACACCTGCAGTAATTCTATAAGGAATTCAATTCTATAGTATTGTATCTTCTATCTATGCCTACAACATTTCTTTTGGCAATCTAAACTGACTTCATAATATAGACTATTTTTGACAAGAATGCACTGCTAAAATCCTAACTGGAAAACTTTTGTTGGTAGTCTAGGATTCATAAGGGATTGTTCTGGCAGGCATACCTTTTTGCACACGATAATTTTCTTATCTTCTTTCTTCTGTGGTGATTTGATAGGAAGCAAGTAAATGTAACACCCTCACCAGTTCTGTTTCAAAAGCAGCGAACGTATCCTAAAATCAGGGAAATGGGTGCTTAAAATCATGGTAGTTGTTTTTTTAAAAAGAAAACATTTTTCAACATATTGGTACGGTGGTGGTTTCAGATATTTGTAAAAAAACAAAATCGTAAAATAAAGTTTATCCAAGTAAGTAGCTGCATTAGATCTTTAACCGTTTCATATATTTTAATAGAACTGAATGCTGGAAATTCTGGGGCAAGAACAGGACATGATAGCTGCATAATACAGTTACACAGGGCTGGCTCTACCATTGGCAGAGTAGGATTGCCTCAGGCAGCAGATGCTAGGGGGCAGTGGCTGCAGCCCCTGGCTGTTCCTCCTGGGCCCTCTGACTGGATCCTTCTATTGGAGGACAGAGGTGTGCATGCTACACAGCCTACCCTGCACACCTAAAATATCCTCCTTCCCTCAAGTGCGATGGAGGATGTTGTCCTCCCTATAGGCATCTGGTTGGCCACTGTATACACATAGCTTGGGTATGTACACAATACATAAATTTGGTAACGCTATGCACATAGTCAGAATGGCCACTGTGAGAACGGAATGCTAGACAAGCTGGGCAATTGGCTACGATCCAGAAAGCTTTTCTTGTGCACTTAGTTCTTATGTTATGTCCCCAGTTTTGAAGGAAGATTCAAGTGCCTGTCCATTTGAGTTTTGCACATAAAATGGGGTGGGGTGCAGCTTTCCTTGGCCTTGGGGCGGGGGGGGGATGTTGATGGTCAGTCCTGCTGTTCTATTTGGCTATTCTCTGGCATGATTGCTAAGCACCGCCTTCATGGTCAGAGGCAGCAGTTCTTCTGAAAACGAGGTGCTGGAAACTGCAGAAGAGGAGAGTGCTTATGTGCTCAGGTTCTGCTTGTAGGTTTTCCGCTGATAACAGGATTCTGGATTAGATGTGCTGCTGGTGTGATCCAGCCGGCCCTTCTTGCATTGTTAGGTTCCTATTTACTGGTGGTGAGGAATCAAATGGTACATAGCAGTGAATTCACAAAAAACAGAGCAAGGAAAATACAAATCTCCAAGCTCCACATTCATGAATTAACATGGGGCACAATCCATCCAGAAGTCCTACGATGTGCATGCCCCATTGAAATTAATGAGAGCAATGCAGTAGAAGGGCATAACATGGAACCCCACTAGCAAGCCAGCAGGCCATCTAATTCAGCAACTTTTATGTCTATCAGCGGCTTTATTAGCTTTATTTTCCATAATTTTATCTATTCCCCATGCACATTGCCACTGCTCGCGGCTCAAAAAACCCTTACATATCCATAGGAATTTGAACTCACAACTCGATGGGTTCCAAAGACAGCCACAAAGCTACAGGCCATGTCAAGAAGCCACCCACCCCATTACTGTGTTCTTGTGTATGTCGGTTTCATCACAGTGGGTCTTGCACTGAACAACTTCCTGCTGGATTGTGCCCCATGCATCAGAGATGTCTGCCTTGCATTCTGCCACCTTTAACAGCACCCAGATCCACTGCCTGAGGTAGTCCACTTCCTTCTGCCTCATAATTATGCCATCTGCATCCAAAACGTCTGTTTCATAGCTTGAACTTTCTAGGGTGTTGTTTTAAACATTTCATTCTTTTTCTCTGGACAGCAAAGCACATTCTTCTATATCTCATTAAATGGAATGTAGAATATATTTAAAATCACTCTTCCTTTTGTACAGCAGATGCATTTTAAAGGGTGTAGAAACTTTTTGGAATATATAAGTGGGGGTTATTCTGGGGCATTATGTTTTATAAGAAATCAAGAGAGAACTGTTACGATTTTCAATCTGTTTTTAAATAATGTTCACTGTTGTAATTTGAGGCTGTTAATTTCCTAATAAAACACAGGACAGGAATTGTATGCTGTTTCATTTGGTCTGAACTTCACTGGTTTTATATCTCACCAGGTTTGCAGACCAGGAACTTATCTTGGTGGGGGGAGAAATAAGATCATTTTCACCTTGTGTACCAAGATCTGCTCTTTATTACACAGTGTTAAGTGATAGAGCAAATCTCTGTTCAGAATCTCTGCTAATATTCTGGGAGTGTTGCCTCCAAACTGACAGTTCTGTGAGTTGCAAGCCATACCACAATCCACATGCCTAGAGTGGGAGATCCAAATCAGTACTGCTGCTTGTGCCTTAACTGCTCAGATGCAGCCTGCTTGTGAAATAGGCTGGCTTTCACTTGACCTTCTGGACAATGGCAGAACCAAGGGGTTGTGTTTTTTTTGCATCTGTGTTGGACAGGGATCTGCATATGCAGGAAGGTCCTGCTATTGGGATTGAAAGGACAGAAAATTGTTGGCCATTTAATCCATTATTGCTGTGTTTCTACTACAGGGGTAAGGCTTTTATGGGCTGTTCTGCCTCAAGTGCCCAAATAAGCCAGAGAGGGGAAGAAGGGATTTGCTGCTCTCGGTAGCTTCAAACCTAATTGTGATCCAAGGGGCATTTTCAGTGGCAGGGGAGCCACAACTGGGGTGGGAAGACTCAAGCCTTCCCTCTTCAGCTATGACTCTATTAAATCACTGCTCCCCTTACAACTAGACTTGGAAAAAGTATTCTGCTGTAGCCAAAGCCAGGCTTCTTTCAAGCCTAGTTTTCAGTGGTGGTGGGTGGTCACAGCTGGGGAGGAAACAGTCGACCATGCCTAGTGATGAACCCTCCCCACCACCACCCTGAACCCCCATGTCACAATTAGCCGTGAAAAGGGCCTTCTATTGGCTACAACAATAATTTATTATTTATACTGCACCCAACAGAATATTAAAAACACGATAAAAGATCAAACATTAAAAACTTCCCTAAACAGGGCTGCCTTCAGATGTCTTCTAAAAGTCAGATAGTTGCTTATTTCCTTGACATCTGATGGGAGGGCATTCCACAGGGCGGGTGCCACTACTGAGAAGGCCCTCTGTCTGGTTCCCTGTAGCCTGACTTCTCGCAGTGAAGGAACTACCAGAAGGCTCTCAGTGCTGGACCTCAGTGTCCGGGCAGAACAATGGGGGTGGAGACGCTCCTTCAGGTATACTGGGCCGAGGCCATTTAGGGCTTTAAAGGTCAGCACCAACACTTTGAATTGTGCTTGGAAACGTACTGGGAGCCAATGTAGGTTTTTCAGGACAGGAATTATTTGGTCTCGGTGGCCGCTCCCAGTCACCAGTCTAGCTACTGCAGTAAGGGGAGGAGGGTCTGCTTATGGGCACTAGATAACACTATGGCAGGCACAGCCACTGATGCCAGGTTGGTGACCCCTCCTGTAACATCTTTGGTTTCAGTGTAGTGAAAGAATATTTTCTTTGACATTAGTTCGGCTTCTGAGTGTTGTGGAATGTTTATGAACATTCCAACTGCAACAAGGTTATTTAAAACTTGTCAACACAAAAAGCCTAGAGAGAGAGAGAGAGATGGAGCTCTCACACTGGTGCCAAGGGAGTTCAACAAAGAAGGGAGCAGGCCAAATGCTAAACTGAATAGTGTATGTGCAGGAGGGGGGGTGGAATGGTGGGTTATTTAAGAAAGCAAAGGTAAAATGGAAAGAGAAAAATTATTATGCACAAACACACACTCACAGGTTTTCTAATTGTTCTCCTGTTGCATCTGTATATTCTCATCAAGGTTGGAAGCTAGAGCCTAAAGAGAAAGATTGCAAGATTTCATATTGGGAATTTTGCTCTCTACTATATTATGAGCAGGGGAAAAATGGATAAGTAAAGCCAGCCCTGAAATCTTCTTGGAGAGTTAGTGCGTTTCCCCCCCCCCCTATCAGTGTTAGTATTGCTCTGGCAAAATGCCCAAGGATTTAGCCTGAGTTAATCCAACCTTGGCTTTCCATAGCAGGCACCCACAGAACAAAGAAAATAAAGCTTCCACAGTCCCGTTGGTCGGGTTTCTGCTAAATCACTCAGCCAGGTGCAGCAGAAGTCAGAGGCGCAAACTTGCACGGGCTTTATAGAGAAGCAAATGTTTTAGAAGCCAGCAGCATCTTTTCGGGTTGCCATAATTCATTCTATGGAAGAACATAAGGAGTGCTTTTTCATTTCAATTTGTTTTGAAAGCTGTTGTCCTGAACATTTTCCTTCTTCCATAACCAGTCTTCTGGCTGACAGGT